TGATCTTATTCCCCTTTCTAACGGACGGAATCTCATAATGAGAATAATCATTAATCCTTATTTATTTTTATTATTTATACATCTCACAATTAGCATAATTTGGCATTTGGCAATATATAATTTTATTATTATTTTTTAATTTACTATATATGTATTTATTATAATAACAATAACAACAATTACTATTTACTATGTATTCTATTATAATAACAATAACAATAATTATTTATTCTCAAAGATCTATCCTTAATATTAGGCTAATCTCTATTTGCTAATCAAGACATAATTTTGTGTTTCAAATGTTTATTAGTGTATATTTCTATTTTTCAACCTAACCAAACACTACAATATACTTTATAATTAACCAAATAACAATTCTATAAAACCAATTAATTAAATAAAACATTAAACATGATTTGTATAGGGGCTGCGCGAACGCGCCCCCACTTCCACAAATTATGACGTAGGCTCCACCTATTAGGTAGACCTTAGCCTAATGCCCTTCCAAAGTGCAATAGAGGTCACTAGTCTAAGCCATAAGCCTTGATGATCGCTCATTGACTCCGTCCAGGTAAGTATGTTCTTTGTTGTTCCTGGGCCCCTTTTTATTAGGTGCTGCTGACTCCTACTTCCGTTTTGCTTCGATGTGGGATATAGGGAACAAGAATACTTTGCTCCTTTCTTCTCATTTCTAGTCCCCTTTTCTATAGTTCTTTTTCCTTTTTTTTTGCTTAGGTTTACAATGGAAAAATGAATTAGCACATAGCTATACATATGAAAATCCCATAAGAAAAACTAAAACAGCTTTCTGGGTATGGAATGTAAACTAAATATCATAAACTGAGCTATCAGGCAGAGACATTCATCTTAGCCATTTCTTTAACCAAGTATTTGGATTCAGCTGCAAATTCAACAGGAGAATAGCTCTCCGATCTTATCCTTGAAGTTTTGTCATTCTTGTATTCTCGAGCTGTGTTGCTTACTCGGAAAAGGTGAGGAACCTATGTGGCTTCTTATGGCCTACTGCTTTTGACAGATCGAGCTCTTGAACGTTGACAAGCTGCAATAAATTAAACATGTAAAATTTGATCCTCGCGTTGGCATTATAAGATTAATTCAGAGATGAATGGAATGGGTAAGAAATGTAACACCAAAATCGGAATGGTAAAGGAGAAATTACACACCGCTGTAGAAGCACTTTGGGGTTATATGGAAAAAGGTTCTTGTGATGAAGGTTTTGGATAGATGTTTTCAGTTCCAACAAACAATTAGTAGCATGCTGAAATGGTAGCCTCTCAGTACACCAGATGCGTGCTTTTTCTTTCTTCTGATCTCGTTGTCACTGGTGTATGTGGACACCTCCACTTTAAAATTCAGATGATCTAATGAAACTTTTCTTCTCTTTTGGCATAATTGGATTTCTTTCATTCCACTCCACGGAAAATTTGTAAATAAGCTCCATGACTTAAATACCATGCGCAGGCACCTATGAGTATTGATGTAAAAAATGTGAACACATCATGTAGATTTTCATAATATATTTCCTTAGACATAAGCATTCATGATTCTTTTGTTGTCTATTACCATGTAACCACAACAAGAATACGTACGGTTTTTGAACTTGTCCAAACAGCGAGCTCTCATGCAGTTTCAAATTTGTATCACCAAGAGTAAAAATAAAAGATCACTAGACAATTATCAAGTCCTTACCTAACCTTTATGTGATTGAAACTTAATAATCTTAGCTAGTTCAATATGCTGTAGTAGCTATTCCTTAATTAACCAAGATTAAAAAAAGTTAAATAAATCATTAAATTAAAGATGCTATGGTTATTCTTTAATGAACCGAAATAAAAACATATTGGCAAGGAATACTCAAAATTGACATTAAATTATTATTCGTAAAAGTATATTAACATGAGTTCTATATAATTTACATGAAAATACACCCAAAAACACAATAGAATTTGAACAGCTCTAATCCAAGAGGGACTATGATTTTCATTATAATTTTAGGTTAAAATTTTCGTGTCTTGCTTATTTTATGTAATTTACTTTAATTTTTATATTTTGTATTTTACATGTAAAATTATCATTTAGTCAAATTAATTTTATCACCATCTAAAAAAAAAAAATCGATTGCTCATTATTTATCAATTTCTAATTTTGTATGTATATTTTATCATTGCTTACACTTTAGGGAAATTTGAAAAGAAATTGAAATTGAAATGGTATTGTTTACAATAGCACTTGCCGGAAAACAATGAAAAATGTCGCAGTCAAAATGCGAAATTTCGATGAAACTCATTAGGATTGAATGACAAGGACAGTGCATGCCATGCACATTCCTTGTCCCTTGTCTACCAACTTCCATAATAAAATACAAATCTCAAAATTTTATTTATTATATAATATGGCACATCCATTTGACTGAATGTTAAGTCAGTCACAAAATCTTTTAACTTTTCCAATTTATACATTTTTTTTGAATGCTACTGACTCTATTACATTGTAGTATCTGTTCAAATATACTGTCTCAACCTAATGAAGCAACGCCTCCACTGAGGCTCGATCTCATGACTTCCCACATGGGAGAGGTCACTACATGACATCTGAGCACAAGGTGCTTGGCTTCCAATTTATATATATTTTACTTTACTTTTCTTATTTTTTTAGTTAAGACTTTTTAAAAATGCCAGATAAATTTTTCAAGTATGTAAGTAAGTTTCTTAGGTGAAAAAGACAAATTCAAACCGTTTTTAGTTAGACTTTATAATATATTCTTCATTGCTTAAAGTGAAGCGGCCAGTTATTATATTAGTTGGATTACAAAAATATAGAATTGGCATGCAGACCTTCCCATTCTCAATCATCAAACCAATATATACAACCTTAGCCGCTTGAGTTTTCAGAGCTATAATCCCGGCCCTCTGCAACTAACCTACATTTCTCTATCTATCATATATAATATATGGCTTCTCATACTACGCCATGCATTGTTGTCTTATCATGTTTACTTCTGCTTCTCTATTCCTCGCAATGCCAAGTCCAGCTCTCCCCTATATTTTTACGACAAAACATGCCCCAATGCTCTCAACCAAGTCCAGCTCTCCCCTACATTTTACGACAAAACATGCCCCAATGCTCTCAACATCATTCGCACTGCCGTTAGGCAAGCCGTGTCTCGTGAGCGTCTCATGGCCACCTCCACGATTGTTTTGTACAAGGTTGCGACGCTTCAATCTTATGGGAAGAAACACCAACTGATGGACAGCGTACTAGGCCTGGGCCATGTGGGTCGGCCCAAGGAAAGCAACTGGATTAAGGAAGCCCAATAAAGATACACGACACAGAGCAACCGAAGAGTTTGTCAATGATTGGACATGTTATTCCTAATATAATTAGAATTGGACTTGTTATTTCTAGTACAACAGAATTAGGCCTCATTATGTAACTAAGACTCTCAATATGAGGCAGTCTAGAATTCTTATTCCTTGTAGGGCTCTAGGCCCAAAATATGTATAAATAGACCCCTCAGATAGAGGAAAGGGGGACAACTCTCAATATTCACAAGCAATATTCATTAATACAGAGTTCCTATATTCTCTCCATATAGTTTTCCTATATTTTTCCTATATTCTCGTTACTCTAACGGTAGTGTTGGCCTGCCGTTGACTGCCCAAAGGTCATAAAACCAACATTGGCGCCGTCTGTGGGGATCGATACGAAAAGTTATCGTTCGTTCCTCAAACCCTGAAAGCATGGTAACTACACGACGAAATACTCGAACTGACCAACCAGTCGCTAGACCAGTCAGAGATTTGAGAGAAACCCTCAGTTGCCCCCCTCGCAGGTACCGAATGATCAGCATATTGCCATGGAGAGGGAGGCTGGCCGGGGAGGTCCCCGAGAAGAAGAGGAGGTCCATTCGAACGCACGCCGACTGGCCATTTGTGTCCCACGGACCCAGCCAGTGGAACTCACCCCCGAGATAGTAGAGGCCGCTGCACGCTACTTGGAGGCCCTACATCATGGCCAAACCGCAAGGGCAGGATCCCCAGAACCCTCCCGGGTAAACAACACCACCCAGATCACCGGCAACCGACTGCCCAACATGAACTTACCGCCTGAAAGAACACAGAGATCGGTTCCACCCCAGGGACCCCGTCGTTCAGTCTCCGTCCTTGATCGCATAGGGCCCCTGAATCAACAAACAACCATTCCACAGCCTGAACTCAAAAACCCCCCGGTAGAATGCCCACAACAAAGAGTCAGGCTCAACCCCCAATGACGGGTAGAGGTTCTCTAGGCAACCGGTTCTCACATGGGAGGGGCAAGGGAAGGAGATCCCGATCGAAGAAGAATTCTGCAAGACATGGTGGAGGGTAGCGGGGAGACTCCAGAACTTGATCAGGGGAACCGAGATCGAGAGATGGCAGAACTCGCCAGGGAGGTGAGAGACCTCCAAAGGAAGGTCGATGGCAGGGAGATCGACCAACCGCTCGACCTCTGTTGTCTGCCAGTCCATTCTCTATGAAAATCCAAGAATATCGCGCACCAAGACACTTCAAGTGTCCGACAATGCCTACTTACGATGGAACGGGGGACCCCAGCGATCACTTAGTCGGCTTCCAGGCAAAGATGATGGTAATAGGGGCGGAGGACCCTATGTACTGTCGCACCTTTTTTCTCAACTCTGGGCGGGGCAGCGCAGCGTTGGTTCCTATCTCTATCGCCGGGGTCCATCGACCGTTTCGAAACCCTAGCCGAGCAATTCCTAACCTACTTTGCAGGAAGCATGAAAGCAAAGAAGCACTTCATGACCCTGACTGCCATACAACAAGGAGAAACTGAGACACTAAAAGAATTCTTAAAAAGATGGCAGAAGGAAGTACAGGCTGTGGAAGATCTGGACGATCGAACGGCCCTCACTTTATTCATGGAAGCCCTTCGGTCAGGGGATCTGTTCACTAGTCTGCGAAGGGAGACCCCCGACACATATGCACAGGCCATCCAGATGGGCCAACAAATATGCAGAAACAGAAGAGGCTTTGCGACAGAAAACAAGGCGAGAAGCGAAACGACCCCGTGACGAGACGAGAACACGTCCGTTGGACCGACCGTCCAAACGGGAAGAGAGATCTAACGTTATTCGGGGGCCACTTCCCCCTCGACACAGGGCAGTCCCCGCCCTTGGGGTGAGGCACCTGCACGAAGTCCAACCACCCCGACCTACAGAGAACCTACCACCACCACCCACAAGAGCGGAGGAACGGCCGGCCGCGGGAAGAGCCAGATACTGTCGATATCACAGGTCCACGGGACATTCTACCGAAGAATGTATTACCCTACAAAAAGAAATCGAGGAGCTTATCCAGAAAGGACGATCAACTGCTCGCCCCAACCAATGGCGAAAACTTCCATGGACACCAGCCCGGGACCCTCCCACTGGACTTAAGGATAGGCCCCAACAGAAAGCACCCAACCAAGAAGAGGGGAATCCAGAAGAGCAAGACGATCGGAACTGGAAACACAAGCGTGTGATCCACATGATTTGTGGCGGGCCTGCGGTGGGAGATAGCTCTCGAGAAAGGAAACGTTGGGCTAGACAATTATATGTAGGCGCAGTGCAACATAGACCCCCCATCAAGAAAGGCCAGAGGGACATCATCACCTTCTTTGATGAAGACCTCCCGAACGGACCAACTCCACACCGCGATGCCCTCATCATCACCATGGACATCAACGGGACCACCATCTGGAGAGTATTTGTAGACACTGGCAGCAGTGTCAATGTCATGTACCTCGAGACATTTAACAAACTGGGACTATCCAAAGAACAACTACACCTAGTGCGGACACCACTTGCTGGGTTCACCGGAGATAGCATAGAGGCTGAGGGGTGTCTCATCTTGCCCGTGGAAATAGGAGAATACCCAAGGGTCCGATCCTTAGACATGGAGTTCGTGGTTGTTAACATCAATTCCGCGCACAACGTAATTTTAGGACGTCCGGGTTTAGAGGATCTGGGGGCCGTGGTGTCGCTCGAGCATCTGTGCTTAAAATTCCGAACACCCGAAGGAGTGGGGATCGCTAAATGCGATCGCCATGTGGCCCGGTCATGCTACCTCCTCTCTTGCCGGCAGATTGGGAGATGCGACCTGCAGGTCCAAGCTATCACCGAGAAAACCAAAGGAGAGGAGACTAAGGAAAGGCCGGAACCCGTAGCCGATTTAGAAGAAGTAGCTTTGGAGGACTCCAGACCAGATAGAACGATCAAGATAGGCAAAGGGCTAACAGAAGAGGTCCGCTTGAGCATCTTACAAACACTGAAAGAGTGCAAAATCCTATTCGCTTGGGGACCCGAAGACATGCCCGGAATTGACCGGTCGGTCATCACCCACCGCTTATCTGTTTAATATGTAGCTCATTAAAAATGCTTCAAAGTAAGTCTTGCTTTGAGCCTGTTTAAAGCATACATGTTTCAAACTAATATATACCTACATATATATTAAGACCATTGTAACCCTCGGTCAAAAAAAATGAAAAAAGGTCCGTATTTGCGACCAATTTTTTGGATGGTCGGAAAAATGTTGATTTTCAATAGTGATATTATTTTTTTGTTCTCCACAAAAAAATTCATCTTGTATGGAAAAAAAAATATATATATATTGCAAAAAACTCTAACTCCAATGGTAAAAAAAAAAAAAAAAAACTATTTTGTAGTCAATATAGCCAACTGGAAATGTATTATAGTTGTAGACATGCAGTGCCGTAATAAATACTTACATAATGTAATGATATAGTTTATAACAGAATGTTGAGTGATGGACTTATTGTATTTGTACACCCCAACCACACATAATATAATTAATATAATGCATGCTGTCATTTGCAGATCGGAAAGGTGGAGATAACAAAGCTTCCACTTTCTCCTTTTTTGACTCCACCGCCCACACTCACCAGTCACCAGTCACCAGTCACCACCCAGCTTTCTCGCCCTCTTCCACCGCTCTGCACCAAATTTGTTCAAACGAAAACCCAAGTAAATGGCGGAGCTTTAATTTGAGGCCGTGACGATTTCTTCTCCCACTGCATGCACGAAGCAGCGATATGATGGAGCTCCTCCGCCCGCGATCTTCGGTTTTTCCGGCGACCAAACTATTGAAGTGGCAAAGGAGGTGATCTGGATTTGTTGAATCGAAGTTTAAAACCTTCAATCATCACTCACATCATCTTCGACATGGACGGCCTTCTTTCTTCTTGGTAATGTATGCACGTTTATATGCAGCAAGCCATTACTTTATATTCTTTGTAATTACTTAATCCTTATAAAATTCTCTGGATTTATATATTATATTTTGGAGTGCTTGTTTTCCCGAGTTAGAAAAAATGTCCACCAAATTATTAAATCAAATGAATGGTTCAGATTGTTCAGATTTTAATTTTTCATTGATATTTTCAAATTTGTCTTTAATTACTAGTTTTTTTTACGTGAATTGCGCGATTGAGCTAATGCCCAATGTTTTTTTTTTAAATAATTTAAGTATATTAAGGCAAGATTATATAGAATTGTTCATGCATAGATAATTGAATGTTGAATTTGCGTATTTAAATAGGTAATTCTAAGTTTAAAAATGCAAGATAATATAGTTAAGATTGATTATAATTGTCAATAAAATAATTGTATAGTTATGGTTGAAATCAAATACAGGACATAAGGGAGAGCAAATAAAAATTAGGGCATAAAATATTAAATATATACTAATATTGAAGAGCTGATTGTCAAACAAGGACATTGCGAGGTAGTTAATTTCACACTTCAATTTATTGTGTGATTTGAATACTCTTTTTGTCAATAAATCTCCCAAGTAGTTAATATGATTTGCTTAATTATATATTTTTTATTTTTTTAAAACAATTATTATTATTATTATTATTATTATTATTATTATTATTATTATTATTATTATTATTATTATTATTATTATTATTAAATATATGTATACCCTTATGTCATTTTATATGTTATTCTAAACAGCTAATTTTTTCAAATATCTTTTAACGAACCATTGATATAATTCGCTGGTCAAATCCGTTTAATATAATCCGCTAACGCCAACCGCTAAGTGTTTAGTTACTTAAGTTCATTGTATTTGCAATTCTTCATCATACTTAGTTACTTTCATTGCATTTTACTATCTCTCTTGAAATTTCTTTTCCATCTTCTACTGGATGTACAATGGTGGAGGCCAAGAATTCATGCTGCAATTCAGCTACTAATTGTTTGTTGGAATTGAAAACATCTATCAAAAAACTTCATCAAAAGAACGTAACCTTTTTTCCATATAACCCCAAAGTGCTTCTACAGCGGTACGATGCGTAATTTCTCCTTTACCATTCCTGTTTTGGTGTTACATTTCTTACCCATTCCATTCATCTATGAATCAATCTGTTAAGAAATAAATATTTTGTGGCTAAAATTCATGAAGAAAGCTTCCTTCTCCACGTTGCATGCCCTCTTGCATTTCTCACCGAAATAGGAGCCTTTCCTCCTACATGCCGTAATTGTCGCATTTCTTTATTGTATAAATAGGATAAATGTTTTACTTTGTAATGCACCTCAATTAAGAATTCTTTCTTCTTTCTTTCTTTGTCCCACACGTAGAGCATATATATATATATATATTTTCCTTTTATCTCTCTTTGTAGAGATTAATATATATATTTCATATTTTCCATTTTATGTTATATTTATTTGTCATTTATTATATTTTCCTTACTATTTAACTTCTATAATTCTCAATTTTCGATTCTTCGCTTCCGCATTATTCCGCTATATTCCTAATAAGTGGTATCAGAGCGGTTTAATTGAGAGTTATTTTCAAAGATGTCGACTGTTACTAAGTTCGATATCGAGAAGTTCGACGGGAAAATTAGCTTTTCTATCTGGAAGGTTCAGATGGAAGCCGTTCTAACCCAGAACGGTTTGAAGAAAGCTCTAGCTGGGAAGAAGAAGAAACCGGCTACAATGACAGATGAAGATTGGGAAGATTTGGATGACAAGGCACGTTCAACCATTCTTTTGTGCCTGTCTAAAGAAGTTCTACGTGAGGTAGTAAGTGAGACGACTGCGTCAGATTTATGGTCCAAGCTGGATGCGCTTTACATGGCCAAAACTCTGGCGAATACGGTACACCTGAAGGAGCGTCTGTACACAATCCGTATGACGGAAGGTACTTCTATTAAGTCTCACTTAGATGAATTCAATTCTATTTTATTGGACTTGGAAAATATTGATGTCATAATTGACGATGAGGATCGTGCTGTTTTATTGCTTGTTTCCCTCCCTAAATAATACAAGCATTTCAAAGAAATTATGCTGTATGGTAATAGTAGTGATACCCTTACTTTTGACAATGTTAAGTCAAACCTATTGTCCAAAGAAAAGTTTGACTTTGAAATTAAGTCTGAGGACAAAGGAGAAGGCTTGACTGTAAGGGGTCGCTCACTTGAATCAGGGAGTAGCAATAAAAATTTTAGATCCAAGTCCAAAGGACATAAGTCCAACAAATCCTGTAAGTACTGCAAGAAGCATGGTCATGATGTGACTGAATGCTTCAAGTTGAAAAACAAGCAAGAGAGAGAAAAGAAGTCCGCTGAAGCTAGTGTTGTTGAAAGTGATTCAGATGATGATGTGTTGTTATCTGTTAGCTCCGGTGAGAAACGGAGTGAAACCGAGTGGATTTTGGACTCTGGTTGTACATTCCACATGTGTCCCCACAAAGATTGGTTCATCTCTCTGGAACCGGTTGATGGTGGAGTTGTCTTGCTGGGTAATGATACCCAATGCAAGGTTAGTGGAATTGGAAGTGTTCAGATTAAAACTCATGATAACGTTGTCAGGACTCTTACCAATGTTCGGTATATTCCTGATTTGAAACCCAATCTGATATCATTGGGCACCTTGGAATCTCTGGGGTGCAAGTACACAGCTGAAGGTGGAGTTTTGAAGGTCATAAAAGGCTCTCTTATTCTCATGAAAGCTTCTCGTTCTGGAAGCTTGTATGTCTTGCATGGCAGTACTGTGACAGGTTCAGTAGCGGTATCCTCATCGATGTCTGATGCGGATCTCACTCAATTATGGCATATGCGTCTGGGGCATATGAGTGAGAAAGGCATGCATCTCCTGAGCAAGAAAGGTTTCCTTGTTGGTTCAGGTATGGGTAAATTACAATTTTGTGAGCATTGTGTTTTTGGGAAACAAAAGAGGGTTAGTTTCCCTACTGCTACACACCGTACCAAAGATGTATTGGAATATATACATTCTGATTTATGGGGACCAACTAAATTCCAGTCTATGGGAGACTATAGATATTTTATGTCTATTATTGATGACTTTTCTCGTAAAGTCTGGGTCTATTTCCTGAAACATAAAAATCAGGCATTTTCTATTTTCAAGAAGTGGAAAATACTTGTTGAGACTCAGACAGGTAAAAAAGTCAAGAAGCTCAGGACAGACATTGGCTTGGAGTTCTTTGAGTCAGATTTCAATGACTTTTGTGCGGCAAATGGAATCGCTAGGCACAAGACCTTGCCTGGTAAACCCCAGCAGAATGGTGTTGCCGAACGTTTGAACAGGACTCTATCGGAAAGAGCTCGTTGTATGCTCTCTAATGCTGGGTTATGGAAACGGCGTGATTTTTGGGCCGAGGCCGTTTCTACTGCTTGCTATTTGGTAAATAGATCTCCACATTCATCCCTTGATTTCAAAATTCTAGAGGAAGTTTGGTCAGGTAATCCTGTTGACTACTCTATCTTAAGAGTTTTTGGATGTCCTGCATATGCTCATTCTAGTACGGGTAAATTAAACCCAAGAGCTGTCAAATGCATTTTCCTTGGTTATGCTTCTGAGTCAAAAGGGTATCGTCTATGGTCTCCTGATTCTCAGAAAATCATTCTGAGTCGAGATATCACTTTTGACGAAAATGCACTACTTTCTTCCGGAATAGTTCCCAGTACAAGTGAAACGCAAAGTACTGGTGAAAATGTGGAGTTTGAGTTCAAGCCTACTGATAGTGTTACTACTGCTGATGGTAATACTAAAGATGATGCATCTACTAGCACCGCACCTCTCGTCGAGCCACAACGAGAGTATTCCATTGCTATGGATCGGCCTAGGAGGACAATCAAGAAACCTGCTAGGTATGCTAGTGATGATGAAACCAACATGGTTGCTTATGCTCTTTCAGTCGCATAGGAAGTTGATGGTGATCCATCCTGCTATTCTGAAGCTCTTCCTATTGCTAAGTTCAAGCAATGCTTGAGTTTAGTCGGTTGTTCCAGTTGTTAATTTCCACAGTGAATTTGATCCAAGGTGGAGATTGTTAAGAAATAAATATTTTGTGGCTAAAATTCA